TAATCAATAGATGGCATCTTTGATCTATCTCTACGTACATGCATTGATGATTGATTTAAAATGGAATTAAAATAACTATGTTATTATTATTACTATTGTGGTGTATACTACTGATGTCGGTAGGTATAAGTAGTATGTATCATCAATCAAAAGTGAAATACCTGGAGGCAGAAGGTTAAGAAGATCGAATAAAAGAGAACGAGAACAGGGAATGGTTGCAATGAAAATGAAGGAACAGTGGATTCTGAGACGACTAGTTGACATTTGCAAAAGGAATAGTTAGGTTTGAGACAATTGACTGACATTTTGAGAATTAAGTATCTATTGTATAATTCTCAGATTTTACTATGACGGTAATATTATTTTAAACCGCATCTTCTCTTATTTAGCATTATTGTGAACTCATTTTTCTTCATTGTACTACCCTTAAATCCTTTATTTCTTCACAATATATTATTCCCTCATTTATACTTCATTTATATTGCTTCTAGTAATACCAGAATTTGTATATATTAAATAGTAATAAAGAATAATAACGTATTAGCTTCATGCGTGTTAGCAATTCGCAACAAGGTGGATATGTTTAATATTATTCTTGAGGGCGTTGATGTTCGCCGTGAAATTCAGATCTGTTTTATATGGTATACATATTTGGAGTGAGATGTTAAGAACCGTGCTTTTCAACGCATAAATGATTTCTTTTGTTGAATTGAAATGGTTGTAATAATAGGTGATCCTCTGACTAGTAGAAGAATCATAATAAATCACAATCTAGTCAATATGGTTTATAGAGTGTTGTCAATTAGTTTGGACAGTTAAAGCTAGACTAAGATAAAAAACAGGCCAAAGACCTAGATACCATATTAATCAGCACTTATTAACACAGTATGTATGTAAAATTTTCCTGAGAAATTGATGTTAAACTACTCGGTGAAATTAGATATTATCAGTATGATGCAAATTTATGTTCATACATACGATGAGTGTGTTTTACTGAATTACCACAACTTATCTTCTGAAGACTACTTTTATAGGTAACAACCATCACAAATTAATCTTAGTTGAGATACCAGTGAATACTGGGAAGCATGGAACAGTTATTTAAATTTAGCAGAAAACTTCTTAAAACAGTTCACTCGTAATGGTATCAAGAAAAGGATCTAGGACCTTCAGCTATCACAGTAGATGTCTAACCATTAGTGTGCATTAATAAAGAGTGCACTTCAGTGACACAATAGCTATTCAGTGTTTCCTAGTTTTCAACGGTGCTCCATCTGAGATTGATTCGTAATAAACGTCAGTTACAAATTGAAACTAGTCACCATCAAAATCCCTTCAAATAAACTATTATTATTACTGTAAGCATTAATAGTAGTGTGATTTTCATTAAAAGTCTCGAAATATCTGAACCTTAGTAATTATATATGACGTTCGTTTAACTATAGACAGAAATTGCGATATAATAACAAATGTTAATAATATTTAACAAAAAGAACACTAAAGTAAATGTGATTTTAAAAAATGACCAGTAACCTAGTTGCTATCCTTTATAATGGTTGGGACATGTATTATGGTGAGCTCAACTATCCACTACTTTGACGTGCAATGTGTGTTAGTGTAGAAGTAGGTTGGAAAAAAAACAAAGTTAAACAATGATGTGATATCAGTCCATAAAGTAATTTGATATTCGACTGGCTATGTTAATAGATAAAAACTACAACACTAAAATCCTTACGATAATCGTAATTACTATTTGAAGATGTTTCATGATATGACTTGGAATCATTCTCAATAGGATAGGTGTATTCACTGATTGCCTTTTTTATATCTTGATATTTAAAATGGTCTGAATTTTTATTTCTGAATCACATCGTCTATATTAAGTTTGTTTTATCATCACTAACGTTGAAACTCTTTTTACCATTCTACAATTTATGTTGATCATTTCATATTATTGTGTTGATATCGTGTGATCAGTTGAACTTATTCACATATGTGCCAAGATTTACGTTCTATATGACTAACTATCCAGCATGAATATATACGTTTTTTGTTTACTCATACAACCATATTGAAATCCATTTCATGAAGTCAGTATATATATAGTCAATTCCAAAATAGTTTAAATCATAGTTGTACTTAGTCAAACAACCGTTGATAATCTGAACTAACATTTGCTGGATAACTATTTCATTCTTGTAATGGAACTACTCAACAAGGAGTACTTCTTTCCGAGAATTAAACTTCTTTGGAAAATAGGTTCTATGATTTTTGTACATTTTATAAGTAACTCTCATTCAAAGCTGAGAAGCAAGAACTAGTACAAACAATGAAGTTTTTAAACAGTTATTCCATTATTTATTTGCTGATGTAAATAGTTCGGAAAGACATTAAGTATTAAAGAGTTAATCAAGTAAGGATTGAGGCAGTTATTATCTGATTGTATAGTCTGAAATATACATATATTGTCTTAAAATAATTATAGTTAAAAGTGTAAGCAAATGGGTCTTTTAATTTTCTCCACAAAATTCTACATTTGAATATTCTCTGTTCCACTTTTTGTAACAGTCACCGTAGGTAAGCTCTAGATTAATGAACAATTTGTTTCAAGAAGAAAAATTCTCGTAAAGTCCTTGTTAAAAGCCGCAATTTAACAAATTTTTTTATTAAATATCACATAGTTAAAGTTTGACATTATGAACTGTCTATACTTACAAGCTGAGAGTAAAATGCTTACAGTCAAACTGAAATGTCTTCGTTTGAATTATATTTCAGTTTTGGATATTGTGTCTTCTCATTCGTATATATTGTCATATATTAAAGTAAGTCAAGTGTTGTTCATGAGTGCTTTGTTTATCATTTTAAAAAATATCAGTTCATGATGAGAATAATATTGGAATAATAAAATATTATGTAATGGGGTTAAAAACAGTCTACCAAAAAGTCAAACATATAGATACCTTTATCGAAATTCACCAAGGAAGCATATGAATGAAGAGTTTAAAGTACATATCAAATCATGTACTGATAGCAGACTTTAAACTTATTCTAGTGCATATACAGTTTCGTTTGGATTATGAATAACAGTTGATTCCCCGTGACATATGTTTCTTCATATCTGGGACTAATCAAATGGATCACACGTACATCTTAGTATTAATTCACATAGTGAGAATTGAACCCGGTACTCATAGTATGAAATGTCGAAAGGGTTATCCACTGAGCTACTAAACACAAAAAATTAATGATTTTTTTAACACAGATACGAAGCAACTTGCATGGATTTGTATTTTTCCACCGTTCCTAGTATCAACAGTGAGAAAATATAAGTCACATACAAACAACAATCAATGTTTGGTTTTCGATTTATTTTGTTTTTAACCAATCTCAGTTGGAATATTTCAGAAGAGTTATTAGCTTTGACAGAAAATTTTATTCTCGATATAGAAAATTTCTTTAAAATAAGGTTTACAATAAGTAAATTAGATCCGTCACAAAATGATCTCAGTTCGGGTACCACTGAAACTCAATCAACACTGGGTCCAATCATTAGTTGGTTAAAGATTGACAATAATCGCTATTCGCATTATAGGATGTAACAATTATTCACTGCTCCTTTGTTTTACAATGACACTCTAATTGAGATCAGTCTGCGACGAAAACTGCCAACAAATTAAAGCAACCTACACAATCATCTCCAACCAGAATTCTTTATAATTCAATATTTCCAGACTAATTTGCAATAAAATCATGAGAAGAAAAACTTTTACAAATCTGTAATAACGCTCACATTTCTACATATATAATTATATTTACATAAATACATGGGATAAAGTATGTAAAAGTTCACGAACTCCCTATTTGGATAGCATACTTTTAAGTAATATGTAGATATATGAGCATATATTAGCTCCATAGATTAGTAATGTTTTCGAGTTTTTTCTTTTGCTGTCATATGTAATTTGTTTGTTTTTCCAAAAAGTTATGTGCATTATCTTGTCCTAATTGACAGATTCAATATATTTTTTCACATTTAATCATTACATAACATTGGTATTTATTTATGGAGATTAATTCGCTTATGTGTTAGAGTTTAAAAGATTTGACGTTTATGGTTAATGGTACTATGTGTAAACTTCAATCAAATATACAATGAATGTGACAATGTGCCTAAGAAAGTACTTCTTTTCAATTTGTTACAAGTTTCATATGGTTAAGTTTGAAATATATATTTTGTTCTTTTATAAAAAAAAAAGTAACATATTACCTGGCTACCTAAAATGACGAAACTTGAGAGAGATTCAAATGCCCAACCAGTTCGCTTCATTTAGACTGCAACTAATGACTTATAAGCACATACTGTTAAAAAAATTTCACACTATAAATAAACAGATATATAAGTAGTTTAAAAATCCCCATAGATAATTCAAAAATGAACAATATTTGAGCGAACAATTGTTTTCAATAACTTCATCATCAGGCTCTACAGTTATATATATAAGATATATATAAGATATATAAGTTCACAAAATTTGTTTAGTTTTCAGAATACACAATTTCTGTAAACCTTATACGCTGAATGTATATTTTGTTAAAGTCTAACTATGAATTTTTAAACACTTGATCATATGCGAATCTTTAGTTTGGTACTTCATGAATAATCATTGCATAAAAACGAAGCTTCAAAACAGTGGATACATGTAACAATTTCATTTATACGTGTATATATTTGTCGATAGTTTACACCGCAAACTGACCTTACAGAGGTGACCATTGAAAATTAGAGAACACTGTACAGCTGTTTCGCCCCATTATGGGACTCCTCAGCAGTGCAAATCCATGGTCCACGACAGAGAGTCGAACCAAGAACTCTTGACCAACTATTCCTGATTTTCAATGACGGTCTAACGAAGATCAGTCTACTGTTTAAAGTATAAAAATCCTGCAATGTTCACGAACATCCCACACTAATATATAAAAGCGGAATAGAAGATACTCACTTATGTTTTGAGCCATTTCATCCATTGCTAAACTTAAAGGATACCATGCAGCGGCCGCGGCCACAGCAGCTGCCGTACTAGTGCTATATGGATTCATTGATATAGATGAATTCGCATTGATTGTCGTTGACGCCGATGATGCAAATGTTGCTGACGACAATGTAGACACCGTTGAAGAGGATAATGAAGGTGATGCTGTTGACGATGTCGTAGTCAAAGATGATATTGTATTTCTTTCTGAATTGTTATTATTATTGATAGAGCTTAATAAATTTGGTATATTACTGATAAATTGATTAAATGGTAATAAATTCAAATTATTGTCAATATTATTCGTTGATGTAAGTGGATGAAATGAATCTTCATCTATAATACTACTACTATTATTTGTATTATTATTATTATATAATGACTGAAAACTATTTAACAATCTTTGATGTTGCTCCTGTCTCTGTTGCTGAAATTCAACTGAATTATGAACACTATCAGTATTGAATGAAGTCCACGTTAAAGGACTAGCACGTTGCATAATCTTGGCCAGTACCACCACAAGGACCGGTCAGTTAAAAATGATGCTCATACACATACGCTACGCCGCATACATAAACACTCCTCAGAAAGAATAATTGAATAATAATCAATGATCAAAACGAGTAAATATTAATCCACAATTATTGTTCTTGTTCGTTTTGTGGGTTTAACTGTTGGTTGAGTGAGGGAGATATTATTTTTGCTTATGTCGAATATGATAATTTTTTTAATATTTTTTGTCTCACAGTTATGTAACTGTTTTCTTCTTTGATCTCTTTATATTTATTTTCTCGTAGATCCTTCTTTGTCCCCAATGTTCACCGTCTTTCTAAATTATAATAGTGTCAATGAAATGTTTATTATGAAGTATAAATTATTTTTTCCTCAATAAAATATGGTTATTATATTAAATATTGAATGATAGCAAACTTAATTTTGAAGATAGACATTCTGTAAATAGATGATTGAATAATTGTTTTCATGTGTATATATTCCCCAGTTGTGGATGATTGTGTGTGTGTATGTGTTGGTATTTGTATGTATTAATATGTAATGATAATTATATTATTATATCGCCCGTAGTCGTCGTCGTACTACTGATAGTAGTTATAACAGTATAGATAGTAATAATAATAATAATTTAATTTGACGATTCATTCATATATGCACTGTCTGTGTAATCATGTACACACATATGTATACATACAAATGCACATATTACATCAATTATGAAGTAGATAAACCACATACACAATTATTATTCAACTACAGAGGAAACTAACAATTTCAATAGCATAAGATAATTTCACTGACTTTAATAGAAGAGTAAGAGAGTAAGAGAAAAGAGTTACGTTGTGTTATTTGTTAATGGTGTTTTTGTCTACAATCTTTTCAATATACTAATGTGAATAAAATTAAATATAATAATAATAGTAATAATGACAAAAGAACACAGTAACATGTGTGTATGGTTGTATACCTATTAGTTCATTTGTATGTATATTTGTATCTATGTCTATAGAATAAGTTGTAAAACCATCCAATTGACAAATTAAAGATGAGTTGATCTAACCAATTAAATAACTAGAAATTTTTTTGAAAAAAAAATTAATAGACAAGGTGATAAAGAACAAGAAGAACAATAATAATAATAATAGTAGATTTCTTCATCAAGGAATCTATCGAAGTTCATCAAATTTGTCTGGTGATATTACTATATATATATATGTTCATGTACAAGTTCATAGGGTTATGTATATATATATATTTAAATGAATTTGTACAGTTGAACAATTTAATAGTCAAAGAAGAATATCATCATAGAAATATTAATATTGACCTACCACAAATCGAATAAAGAAGTTATACCTGTCTTTAATTAATCTGTCTATATATATATTTAATCAAATAGTTGCTACAAGGTCATCTATTTAAATTCAAAAACTTGATGGAATGTCAAATGATAGGTTAGTTTCTAAGTTATCTCTATTTAAATTAACCAACCAAATTATTCATTTATTAAAATATATTCTTGTCTATCCAATCAACCATATATATACATATATACACACTCACAAATACATACATACAATAAACATATGCACATACAAAACAAATTTCCATTAATAATATTTTTTTAAAAACAATTATTCATTGAAAAAACAAACAAATTTGGAAAGCGAAAAAACAAAAAAAATTTGGGAAATAAATTATCATCTATTTACAATTTATTTATTTCATTTGATCTTTATCATTATATATTTATGTTTTATTTGTTTATCCCTTCTTCTCTATAAATTTTGTTTTGTATAAACAGAAAATAAGTAGTCTATATTGATTGATTGTTTTATGGAGGTAAAGCCGGAATTGACCTTTTAACCTTGAAATAAATTGAAATTAATTCTTCAGGAAAATTAAAAATAAAAATAAAAACAACTGTATGATGCATATAAATAAGTGATTCATTCATCAGAATCAATGGGTGTGTAATTCATTAAATAATAATAGTAATAATAATAATTAAACGTACATCTATAATTCGTAAAGGGTTTACACTATTTAGAAGAAACAAATAAATGGCTATTATCATAATCATTATCTTATGATTGATTTTAGAATAATTAATTAACTTGATATGCTGTTGATATACTTAATTTGCTGGTTGTATGAATGATTACCATAACTGCGAGTGTATATGTGTGGATCTAGAGAGAGAGGGAGAAAGGATAAAGTTAAAATTCATGGGACCTCTATGATAATTGAACTATGGAGTAGTTTCAAAGCAAACAATGTACAATATGGAGTCACTAAAATGTTATGCAATTAAAGTATGGATGAAATGCCTTCTCCAATCCTGATGTATTTAAATAAACCGAAATAAAACATCAACTTGGTTTACAATAGTAATCTTTACAAGTTATATTTGGTTGAATTTCTTGGTATTTTTTTACTCTAATGATTGATAAATAGTAAATAGTTGAATTTGTGGTAATCTGTGACAGGTTGTATCAATGTGTGTAAATTTATTTGTTTGTTGAACAAATATCAAATATAACACGGAGAACACTAACCCAGTCACACTTGGTGGAGAAACTCTGGAAGAGGTGAAAACATTCGCGTACCTGGGAAGCATCATTGATAAACAAGGAGAATCTTATACTGATGTAATGGTGAGGATTGGCAAAGCATGGACAGAATTCCTACAATTGAAGAACACACGGAACTCTAAACAACTGTTAAGTAATTTCAGAATGAGAATCTTCAATACGAACGTCAAGACAGTTAGTTCTACTGTACGGAGCTGAAACGTGGAGAACTACTACATCCATCGTCAAGAAGGTGATAAGTATTTATAAACAGTTGTCTACGCAAAATATTCAACATTCACTGGCTGGATACCATCAGCAACAGTGTTTTATGGAAGAGGACAAACCAGCTTCCAGCTGAAGAGGAATTTAGGAAAAGACGTTGGAAGTAGATAGGACATACATTAAGAAAATCACCATACTACTTCACGAGGCAAGCCCTAACTTGGAATCCGGAAAGGAAGCGGAAAGGAGGAAGACCAAAGAGCACATTATGCCAAGAGATTGAAGCAGATATGAAAAGGATGAATGGTAACTGGAAAACACTGGAAAGGATTGCTCAGGACCGGGTTGAATCGAGAATACTGGTGGGTGGCCTACACTCCTCGACGAAGGGTAACAGGAGTAAGTAAATAAGAAGAACAAACATCGACTCAGTAACTCGGTGCGTTATGCGGTGGCGTTTGAATTAATAGGTTTTCCGTTCGAATACTGATAGAGACTGATAAATTTTAGTCCTTCAAATTAAAAAGGGGAAAATGCAAACGCTGACAAATGATATTATATGTAAGCGTATTTTTAAATAACTGCAGTTATGAAGATGTATGTTCTGAAAACTAATTAAATACACACACAAAAATGAATCTTAAAAAATCTTAAATTATCATTATCTTTAAAGATGTCAGAATGGTGGATGTGTGTTGCATCATAGTTTGACCACTCTTATGAATACGAATTCACAGACTATCACAGTATTTAATCAAGTAATATGCGATCTATAACTTTATCAACGACTAAATTGTTACCCAATATCCCTCAATTCACCACATAGTGGGATTTGATTGGAGATATCCATAACTGTTTGTTATCAACCTGCTCAATGTAATGAAACTTGATATATAGGATTAAAAATACAAATATAGCAATCGTTAGGGCTTGAAATAAAGTTCTGTATGCAAATGGCATTCTGATTCTTAGCAGTCGTTCGTTAAATGACTGAAATAAGTGAGTACGACACACTTAAAGAATGTTTTGAATATATATAACTGTGTAATTTTAGTTCCGCGTCATCGTAGAGTTATTTTTGTGAAGAGAAATAAATTATTTTGAATTATCAAAAAATACCTCTATAAAACGTTTTTTAATAGTATGGAAAATAAGTTGGGTATAGGTGCCACTTTATTTTTTTTAGAAAAACATGATGTAAATAAAACATTCACTCCCACTGGTTAGTATTTTCTTATAGCAAAGCCAGATGGATACTTTGGGTAACATTAGATTTTATGTTTCAGTTGGTACGGATATTGTTCTCTGGAATGACAGTATAAGGTTTAGACAGTTTAGAGTTTATATCACGAACCGATTCCATTTACGAGCACGAACACGGTAAATATCTTTTCCACAAACGTTTTATATCGACAATTAAACAGTTTAATCAATTACTTTGAAAAACATGATACTTTTGATGAAGTGGATATTCTGTAGATAAATCCAAACTGATTTAATGGTGTTAAAAATAGCCAATATACTTAAATGGTGTCAGTGTTATTTTTTTTTAAGTATGCTAGATGTTTTACCATTGTTCTCTTGATTTTTTCCTTATAAGCCTTTTACTGTTTAATAAACTACAAAGCATACATAATCTATCTTTATTTTCTTAAGAGAGAGAAAATCATTTATTCTGTCTATTTGTGTAACTTTCAGTTAACCTAGTCTATTTTTAGAGGTAGACATTTATTTAATTGAATCTTTATGAATTTTTCTCTACAGTAATTAGTCATTGAGTAGTAACCGATGTTATGTTTGTGTTAATTAATAATGTTGATTGAATTATATACTTAGAATGGGGGTTTGTGGTGATAGTAGTGAGTTTAATAGTTGAGTTAATGAGTCAATGTTCACTGTTTAGGAGTCCCAGGTTTCATAACTTCGTAATAACATGATATTGTGAATTCGTTGAACATTTTATTGATTTGTGGATAGTTATTAAGTAATGTAAACTATTTTTGACTTATCTATGCTATAATGTTATTTTATATATGTTTGAACATTGAATTAACTTACTGTTTGTCTGTCATGTGAATTGTATGTGTAAACTATTTCTGTCGATTTTAAATTTAGTGTATTACATTAGTTTTTTTCTAAAATAAATCTTATATTTGAACTTTATGATATCATACTGTCAATGGTAGTCAATATATATGAATAAATATATTTTGGGGATCTCATACAGTCGGAATGAAATGGGGTTTGAGTCCAATTCTCACTAAATAAAGCTTGTTCATTAAATATACACATTTTACCCATTCTCTAACAAGAGAGTTTCAACACACCCATTCACATACATCTTAAACGTAAGTCATCAAAAATTGTTGTTTGGAAT